CAATATTGATCTTGATATCATCACCTTTGCAGTTCTTTCTTGTCCCCTTGCTCCTTCCCCCAAATCCAACATCATCACCTCTTCTTTCATCATTGCTTTTTCATATCCTTCTGTCTTTATTGCTAGTATGCAAAAAGCAGAAGGCAAGAGAGAACAGAGATATGTGGAGTGGTGTCATAGATTACAAGAGTCTCTGAACCAGTCCCTTGATCTCCAGTCTCTTTCTCCAACTCTTAATCTACTCTTTGTTTTCGCTCCAGAGATGCTTTCTAAAACAAAGATGAAATCAGGTCATGCCTCTGCTCATTACCTTCCTGCTTTCAATAACAGTGATTGTAACAATATAATTAAGTTATTCAACTAAAATTTCACTATCTTCCTCATTTTCTTCTCATGTTTTTCTTCAAAAAGGCTGCAGGGCTGGGGTGCCTGGGTGGCTCAGTCCGTTAAGTGTCTGACTTTGGCTTGGGTCATGATTTCATGGTTTGTGGGTTTGAGTCCCACGTGCTGACAGTGTAGAGCCTGGAGCCTGCTTCGGATTCTGAGTCTCCCTCTCTTCGCTCCTCTCCAGCTCATGCTTGTGCTCTCTCTCTCAAAAATAAATAAACATTAAAAAATTAAAAAAAAAATACAAAGGCTGCAGGGTTAATTGCAGGATGATGGTCTCACAGAAAGGAGGATGGGTCAAGTGGGAGAAGGCTTTGCTGCATGGAGGGGGCTCAAACTAGTGTAGTTTTGTGAACATTTACCACAATGATCTAGAGTTTAAAGTTCACTTAACCTGCCTCCAAATTGTCAGCAGGCATCATAAGATAAGTAAATGTTTCATAGTGTTTATGGCCCAGATGGGATTTCAATTTCTCTCTGCTTCCCTGGTAAAAAACTCAGGGGTATGGGGAGGAGTATAGTTAGCAAAACAACAGCAACAACAAAAAATGCAGTTTTAGGGGCATCTGGGTGGCTCAGCTGGTTAAGTGGCCGACTCTTGATTTTGGCTCAGGTCATGAATTTCTGGTTTGTGGGTTTGAGCCCCGCATTGGGCTCTGTGCTGACAGCATAGAGCCTGCTTGGGATTTTCTCTGTCCCTCTCTCTCTCTGCCCCTCCCCACTTGCTCTCTCTCTCTCCCTCTCAAAATGAATAAATAAACTCCAAAAAAGGGGCACCTGGGTGGCTCAATCAGTTAAGCAGTAGACTCTTGATGTTAGTTCGGGTTATGATCTCATGGTTTGTGGGTTCAAGACCTGTGTCTGGCTCTGTGCAGACAGCTCAGAACCTGGAGCCTGCTTCAGATTATGTGTCTTTCTGCCCCTCTCTGCCTCTCCCCTCTGACTCTTTCTCTCAAAAATAAATCAACATTAAAAAAATTTATAAACTTAAAAAAATGCAGTTGTAACAAACTGAATAAAAAATCAAAAGGTGAATGAAACGTGGCTTGCCTTTAAAAATCATAGAAAAGTGGGGTGCCTGGGTGTCTCGGTTGGTTAAGCATACAACTTTGGCTCAGGTCATGATCTCACAGTTCAGGAGTTTAAGCCCCACATCGGGATCTGTGCTGACAGCTCAGAGCTGGAGCCTGCTTTAGATTTTGTGTCTCCCTCTCTCTCTGACCCTCCCCTTCTCATGCTCTGTCTCTCTCTCCCTCCCTCTCTCTCTCTCTCAAAAATAAACATTAAAAAATTTTTTTGAAAAGAAACTGCCCTCAAATGATACTCAGCCCCAGCAGTTATAAAAATAACGTTCATAAAACTGACATTAGTTTGCCTAAATTTAAATTATGTAAAGAGTTTACCATAATATAATGTTTGTACTTTCACATTCAATAAAATTAAACAAAAATCAGTATTACTAAAATCTATACAGTAATGACAATTGAAAATAGTTGCACTTTGATTATAGAATATCTAAAAATATGTATGATAAAGACTTCCAGCTTAATCTCTGCAGCAGCAGAGACAGAAAGACACAGAAGACTGAGGGAGAATGAAATGAGGGACAGGGCAAAAAGATCAGTGGTCCCTTTTTTTATGCAAACATAAGGGAGATGGACAAACTGACATACGATATATTTAACAACTGGTAAGATTTAGCCTTAGACTAAATTGCTGTAGACCATAAAACAGTAAGAATGCTTTGCCCATTCGTCTACCTAGGCATAGGCACCCTTCTTCTGTCAACTTGTTATTTGGTTTGGCAAGGCTGAAACTCTCCTTGGTGTGTGGGGCCCCCGTGTGGGAATGGGACAATCTCCATAAGTTGCTCAGATATGCTGATTCCCATCCTGGCTTCCTCAAGTCAACAATACCTGGACTTTGGTTTCTACTTGTTTTGACCAAGTTCTGTAGACAGAAAAGGACAATGAAGGACTACAAGATAAAGCTACCAGGGGGGAGAAGAAGTCTAGATTGGTTCCATATAAAAGCTCATGGGTTGGTGAAAGACGGCTGCTTAGGCCACAGCAAATGGTTGCAACTGGATAGAATCCAGTCTTAACATAAGCCCCAGATCAAGGATCCCTGCTTGATGTCTCTGCCTTTCTCACACAGATGATCCCAGCAAAAATGGGTGGTTTCCTATTTGGGAACCCAGGACTACATAGAAGAGATGATCACACAGGCATGACAGTAAAGACAGAACCCCAGGGTTGTGTCAATACACTGCTTTGTACTTTGCAGGGTTTGTGTGTGGGTCTGTCAAGCCCTCGTCCCAGCAGGTGTAATTCCTCAGGGACTAGGTCTTGTTTCTACTCCACCTTCGTCTATTCAATCTGCCCCCATCCACGCATGAGCAGAAATGCCTTTAGATTTCTGGCATTGGATAGCTTGAATTTGTAGGGATTTTGTAGCTTTTCCCCTAGGCTAAGAATTTCTATGAACATTGATGGAAATTTTGTAAACTGTTTGTAGTTTCAAACAGCTATTACATAAGTCATCTCATTTTTTTATTTGGAAGTTCAAATGGAACAGCCAAAATGAAACTAATGGCCTTTCCTTGATAGCCGTGGTAGTAGAAATGTTTCTGTTTTACACATGGAAAGCTATCAAATTGAGGCCTAATTACTTTACGGTTTTCAACAGGTGGTTCTTAATGGCAAAGCAGTTATCACACACTTAATAACAACAGGAGCTAACTAGGTGGACTTGGATGTTTGATTATCTATTTAAGCGTGTAATTGCATTTTTCAATATAATTAGCAATAAATTGAATGTGTAAGTTAATAGATGTGTTTCCCCACATAAGTCATTGTAATTCAATGCAATGCTTTAGTTTAAAGGCATTATTTCTCAGTTGATAGCAATATAATTTCATGATTACTGTTTTCCTTAATATTTTTTCTGACAAAAAAATATATGTAATTAAAAGACATGTTTTAATAAGTTGAGATGCCAAGATAAGTGTAATTATATTTTGATTAATTTAGACAAAATTTATGGAAGTAAACATTCATATTCTAATAGTTTAATTTAAATAATAAAATCAGCCTTCTTACTCTGCTATTGACAATTAACCCTAGCATTTTCTGGGACTGTATTATAAATGAATATAAAAAAGGGATTAAGAGGCATTTGATTAAACTACTAGTCACACTATAGTCACTATTTTTCACAAATTATCATGTAGAGCAGCTATTCAGTTAAATCCTGGATTCTTTTAAGGAAAATATAAAACAAGATTTAACATTAATATAAAATAGCATTTTTCCTCCTAAATGGTAATTTTAAGTACAGTTAAACTATTCTTTACATATTTAGTAGGCTATATTATTTTTCATGTGTAAATGATTCTGTAGACACCAGGTCAATATAATACCTCTTTCTAATTACCATTATTTCATTGTATCTGCATTCAATATAGCACATAATTGGTACATAACTGATATATGTGGGGCTATCTTCTAGGGGTTATAAATTCCCTCCTCAGGTCAACATATGGCAGTTTCTTTCTGGAAGGGTATAATACTATAAAACTTTTCCTCTAAAGGCTGTCTTGTCTCTCTCTCTCTCTCTCTCTCTCTCTCTCTCTGACTCTCTTCCTTCCTCTGTTCTTCCATCCTTCTTTTCCTTCTCTCAACTTTCTCTCCTTTGCTGGCTTTAAAGAAGCAAGCTCCTTGGGGTGCCTAGGTGGTTCCGTTGATTAAGCATCTGACTTTGGCTCAGGTCACGATCTTACTGTTTGTGATTTCGAGCCCCACATCGGACTCTGAGCTAACAGCTCAGAGACTGGAGCCAGTTTCAGATTCTGTGTCTCCCTCTCTCTCTGCCCTTTCTCTGCTTGTGCTCTGTCTCTTTCTCTCTCTCAAAAATAAGTAAACATTAAAAAAAAAAAAAGAAACAAGCTCCATGAATGCCAGAGCCACTAGAAAATTAATTCTGCCAATAACCTGAGAGAGCTTAGAAGAAGCTCCTTCCTCAATGGAGCCTCTGAAGAGAATCCAGTGCTGGTAGATCCCTTGATTGAAGACGTAACAGACCTTAAACAGAGGGCTCATCTAGGTCATGCCCAGACCTCTGATCTATGAAAAACATGACACAATAAATGTGTACTGTTTTAAGCCCCTCAGTGTTTGGCAATGTGTTATGCAAATACATAAAGCTAATACAGACAGAGCCACAGCGAGGTTAGGCATGCAGCCAGTCTGCTCCTATGGGACTTTCTAAGGCAGCCATTATATTTTTTCTTTATTTTTTTTTTAACATTTACTTATTTTTGAGAGAGAGAGAGAGAGAGAAAGAATCCGAAGCAGGCTCCAGGCTCTGAGCTGTCAGCACAGAGCCCAATGTGGCGCGTGAACTCATGAACCGTGAGATCATGACCTGAGCTGAAGGTGGACGCTTAACCGACAGAGCCACCCAGGCACCCCCCACATTATAAATTTTACCCACAAATAGTGTAACTTTTTGCTTATTTGTGAGGATAAGCTCTGCCTTCATGTCACCTGCATTGATTACTCAATTAAAGTGCCAGCCCATGATGAAAGCCCTTGCCACAGTCGTGTTCTCACCGCTTTGTTTCTGAGGATGATGACACAGTAGCGCGTGTGCATGTCAAAGGGAAGAAACAGGAGCTCCAGGCTTGAAGTCCTCTTCACTCCCAGGTGAAGAGTATGAGTGGAGCAGAAGAATTCTCTGATGAAAGTGGACTTAATTGCTACCAAAACATGAAGGAGAATTTGTTTACATATCATTTCATAAGTGCTGTTCAAATAAAGCAGCTGTTTCAATTAGTGCTTAAAGTTTTCAAATGAATTAAAAAAATATTCAAAGCATTAGCACGCCAAATTAGATGACACACGCATTTGTAATGAAAGTGTGGGTGACACCGGCACAAGCTTGAGATCATAAATAATGTGTAATTATGACCCTCAATTAAAGATTCCTTAACAAATAATTTCTTTACAAAGGGAACTTCACTAGTATTTACAATTAGTCCGATATACGTATATAAATGGCAAACGGGTCATCCTACCATCTTCGACTTTTTCTGTGGACTATGTAATAGTTCACATAACAGGGTGTAATAGTTTGAACTGGTAATAGAAGAATGTTATATATATATATATATATATACATACATATATATATATACACACACACACAAATATGTATACATACAAATATACATACACATACACACACATACACACACACATATATATATAGTTGGATATATATATATGTATATATTGTTGGTTTTAAAACATGTCTACATGTTCTTCAACACTGCCTTGGATGTGGTGATATGGTGGGGCAGTCTTAGTGATTTGATCTTAATGAACATTATGCTAGAATGCAGCAGTGTGATTTCTGACACTAGAGCAAAAATGTAATACAGTTTCTTCCTAATCATCTCTTTCTTGGCTAACTTGCGGTTGTCATCCTGTGAAGAACCCTATGCCACATGAAAAGGCACATGTAAGTGTCTAGGCCAACAGTCCCACTTGAGGTCCTAGCCAAAAGGTATTAACCATCAGACATGTGAGTAAGGAAGCCTTTGGGATGACTCAAGGCCCAGCCTCCATCTGACTTAACTTCACCAGAGACCCTGAGAAAGAAGAGTCTAGCTGAGACCAGTCACTGTAGAAGTGTGAGAGATAATAATGCTAACACATTAATTGTTTAATGCTACTACACTTGGGATGGCTTGTTCTGTAGCTAGAGATAACCAGAACATTCCTATATCCACTGTCCTAACCATATTCCATTCATATGTTCTAAATCTATAGTTATTTTGCGAAACAAAGTAAATCTGTGTTCTCCTTATCATTTTAAACATGGTGATACTTGCCATCCAAATGGGTTTAAGCAGTTCAGAATTAGCCAAAAGAAACATCGAAGTCATTTATCTAAATACATTCATTGTACGGGTAAGGAAACTAGGATTGGCGGTGAAAAGAAAGATGTGGGCAGAGTCCTGCAAAGGGTCATGAACATGAGAGGCTGAGGACCAACACCTGGGCCTCTCCTTCCAACAGTGATACCTTGAACTTGCCATTCTGTCTATTGTCATAACCAGGCTTTGTTGAGTATTTCATTCACTAGTACACTTTGCACATAAAAGTCAGACGTGAAGACGAATAAAAGCTGTTCCTTGAGGTACTCACAGGTTTTTAAGGCGTTTGAGAAATGCCAACAACTCTCAACATCATCACTTTCAGAGCTACTCCCAGCATCCCTGTCATAAGTAAACAGAAGAACAACATGAACCACAGAAAGGAAACTCAAAAACAATTCTCAATCTTCCTTAAATCCAATAGGTCCTTAAAAATTATGGCTACCTACATGATCTGCAAAGACCACAGACACATTTCATATGTCACCTTTATGTGTATATGGTTTCAGAAATTTTAAAAGAAAAGGCAAAAAGGAAACTAACAATCATTCATATGTGCACCAATGTTTTGTAAAATTTAGTAAAAAAACACTTTTGAATACTTTGGACAGAGAAACATTTGATAATAATAATAATAGTAATAACAATAAACAAATCCTGGGACCCCAAAGTAGTGGTCTCAACCTAGGACTACATAGGTATTCTCTCCAAAAGGGCTTCTAGAACTTGATTTCTTGAAAGATTCTCTTCTCTCAGCTGATGTTTCCAATTTGCTTCTTTCCCATAAGGACAGAAGGAGATATGGGCAGCTGTTTAATCTCCGGTTGCATTTCTGAAAATTAATTAGCAGATCATAGCCTGTGGCAACTGCCTCCCTTGAAAGGTTCCATATCTTCCAGAACCCATCAATTTTCCCCAAACTGCTCTCCTCTTAATATTCATGATTACTTTGCTCAACAAGCTGGCAATTAGCATCTAGGCTCTCAGATATGGTTTGCCTGATTTTTTTCTGAGAACATGAAAACCTTGTCATCTGCTTTCGCTTGAATATGATGCTGTAAAATATATGGACTATCTCCAAGTTCTAACCATATTGATTCCTTTTCTCCACTGCTTTTCTTTCCACAACATTCTTAATAAGGTTTACCACATCTTGTAATTATTATCAGCTTTACTTCAACTCACAGACATTCTGATTGGCCGTTCAATATTTTATGTAATTTGAACATTTGATAGATACTTTAAGGCTATGAGAGACATATTAGATAGATAATTTAGCATTTATAAGGGAGACTACACAGAGATTGGAAAGAACAACAAAGAATGCTTATTTCTCAGTGCATGGTTCCACTGCCATCTCGATAATGGAGCTCTGGGTAGAATGCCTGATTAAAATCCTCAGATAATTTCAGAACTTCATTTTGTTCAATACTTGTAATTGCTAGTCCTTCAGTCATTTTTTTTCATAATGAATAGAAAAGCTGAGCAATTTGACTTCATTTCCTTTTTCTTTTCTTTACATATTTTCTTGAAGAATAGCCAATGAAAGTGCCTTTTGATTAAATAAGAGTTGCCTCATCCTCAAAGCAGACTCTCAAACCCAGAAAAATTGAGTTACCTGTACTTTTTATGGTAAAGACAGAAAAAAATTGCTGCAATTTTTGCATTAATTAGTTAATGCCTTAATTGCATTAATGATCATGATTAATTAAGAGAAATCAGAAAATAATTTAATAAAATAATTTGGTTCAGGAAAATTCTATTTTACCTGATCAATGTTCCCGAGTCTAGAAATTCAGTGATAAACCCAACTTGCTTACAAAACTAGTACCTTGCAGGTTCAGAGACACAACAGAAAATCAACTCTACCTTTGGTTACTCCTTGCCCCTCAGTCTGTGTTATCATTTTCCTAAATGGTCATCAATTATTGTTGAAGCCATGGCAGAAGGGGCATTTTTAAACCATGGGTCTTAAGGGAGAAATAGCATGAAAAGAGGCTAAAATTATATAAAATGCTATAGATCAAGCAATGGAATGCTTTCCAGTAATTTAGTAGGAGGTCAAGGTCAGGGAGTGAAACCTATCTATGAGGTATGAAGGGATGACATTCCCTTTTCCTCTGCAGTGATGGTACGCAGCTCTTTTCAAGCTAAGATGATCAAAATGACGTTGAACTGGCTCTACTCAGAGCGTGAATAAACCCGCCTGAAGAATGACTTCCTACTCAAGCCTTTTCCAATAGAGAATGAAGATCTTTATTATAAGCCTTCATGAAGATACTCCTGGGCCAGCATTCAGGGCGGTCTCCAAATCAAAGAAAAAATTTTCTGGTCAAAGACTAGTTTTCACGAATTATGGGAAGAAATGTAAGAGGGTCAATTTTGAGATTCATTCTGTCCTCCATGTGTCCCAAGGCTCTTCAAAAAAGTAGGGTGGTAAAAATGGGATGTTTGCTGCTGTTTGTACCACTTTGGCCCCTGAGCAATTGAGAAGTCTATAAAGCAAGGTGCACGAACCTTGGGCGCAAGGACAGAGTGGATACGTGAATTCAAATGGGGAAAAACTCCATCTTGATTTCCAATAGCTCTTAATAGCAATTTAAACCAAACCACAGTAGTATTTGCTGTAATATGACTTGGCCACCAAACAATCACAAATATGTTTATATCACATTTCAATTTATGTACATATCTTAAGCTATTATTTACATTCATAACTACTTTTAAAGTATGATAGTTATTATGTGTGCCAGTAGATCTTACTGCATATTGTGTTAATGAAGCACTATATATATTTTAATATATTACAATTTTTAACATTTTTCTATCTGCTGGTATATTAGTTTCCTCTGTGCCATAGATTGAACTGTATTGCCCTTAAATTCATATGTTGTAGCACTAATGACCCAGACGACTGTATTTGGAGAAAGGGACTAAAAGGACATTATTAAAGTTAAATGAGGTCATAAGGGTGGGGCTCTGATACAACAGAATTAGTTTCCTTATAAGAAAAAATAGCAGTGAGCTCAGTCTCTATGTACACACAGAGGTCACGTAAACCCACAGCAAGAAGGCTGCCACCTACAAATCAAGAGAAGAAGCCTCCGAATGAAACCGACCTTGGCCACACCATGATCTTGGACTTCCAGCCTCCATAGCTGTGGGAAATAAATTTGTGTGGTTGAAGCTACCCTTCCTATGTTATTTTGTTATGGCAACCTGGGTAGATTAAGATACTCTGTAACCCTTGCATCTTATTTTAAGTACTCACAAAATATTTTTCTGTAAAGTAGAATAGGCTTCATCAGGCTGCCAAAGAGTGTGATGACATTAAAAGCAAGTATGAAAAGCAGGTATGTAAAGCAGGTATATAGAGCAAGAGGACCAGGGCAGATGGTTACTCTTAGCACACACATCTGGCCTTTGATTCACTCAGCTTTCCTTGGAGATATGCCTAATTCTAATTGTCACCAATTATTCACTGTAGTACAATGAAATATTTTAAAATCATGGCCATGCACAATACAGCTTTCTGGGTTTTGAGCAAAAATCAGGACTCAGAAAAAATATCTCTTGGGCCTTCGTTCAGGTGGGAGGCTATTCTGGGCCAAACTACCCTGGAGACCAGAATGAATGAAGAAGCCCCTAAGCTCATGGAGTATACAGTCTGTCATACAAAGTAGGTCTGCAACAAATAATTACAAAGCAGAAGGATAAACACTTCAACACCTTTTCGACTTTCATTCACACTCTCCTACAATCCATATGCAGAAGCATATGTCTTTATTTCCCCTTGCCTGTCCCCTCCTCCACTGCCTCAGCAATTCCTTCCTCCCAAGCTCCTTTTATACTTGTAGGAAAACTCTCCCTTGCTCTAGATTTATGCCATCAAAATCCTACTCATGTTTCAGATCCCAATTTGTAGACAATAAAGAACAGCAGAGTATCGTATATGCATGAGAAAAAAGTGCTTACTACCTCATTATTCTTAAATGCCTTGTTCTCCAGAAAGATCTCTATAATACCTAGATAGTGCTATTCCTTGCCAAAGAACTCACAGAACTTTTTTTTTTT